AGCTGGCCGACAGCGAGTTCTCTCCCGTCTTCCGCCTCCTGACCATCTTCGCCTACGGCACCTATGCGGACTACCTGGGTGAGGCCGGGTCCCGGGGCGGCGGTGCAGAACGCGGTTCAGGGGCCCTTTCCCCTCCCGCTGATGCTGGTCCCCCAGCCTGGAAAATGTGCCGGAGCCCCAAGCCGTTGTAGACCCTCACTCAAAGTGCCCCCCTTTGCAGCAAGAGCCATGCCTCTGTCACTATGGCCCAATAGATGCCTGCTTGCGGTTTGGGCCTGAGATCATTGGAGTACCTGACAGTAATTAATACTACCCTTTGCCAGCTGGGTGGGGAATTTCCAAGAACATCTTGAGAAAGACGTTTTTGAGGGGTGACGGGAAAGACTTGGGTATCCACTGGGATGCGCAGACCTCCATAAATAAGGCATGGAGGAGCTAGAGAGGATGACTTGAGGCTGAAGGGAGGAAAGGCCGCTTGAAAAAGGTCTTTTGAGCTGAGGATTAATGGGGATGGCTTGGCAAGATGAAGCATCACTTGGGGGATTGGTGTGCAGAAGCTTTAAGAAATGGGTATGGTGCAGATGCTTTGTGCATGGCTGGGAAATGGAAAATAAGGCATAAATTTTTACACCCTGTTCTTTCCCCTGACAATAGCTGAAGCAGCAAACCTTCCTCCCTTGACAGAGGCTCAGAAGAACAAACTGAGGCACCTGTCCGTCGTCACTCTGGCTGCCAAGATCAAGGTAATAGCCCTGTTCTTCCCCAAGTTTTCCTTGCATTGGGATTACCTCATGCTAGTTACCACCATCTTTCCACAGTGCATCCCCTATTCAGTGCTGCTGGAGCAGTTACAGCTGAAGAACGTCCGGCAACTGGAGGACCTCGTGATTGAGGCTGTGTATGCAGATGTGCTGCGAGGGAGCTTGGATCAGCGGAATCAGCGCCTGGAGGTGGATTACAGCATTGGGAGGGACATCCGGAGGGAGGAGCTAAGCACCATCACCCGCACATTGCAGGAGTGGTGAGGAGGAAGCCCCCAATACTAACATCTAAAAAAGATTGGAGGAGTGGCTAGTGGCTTCCCCAGATCTGTGTGTGTTGCTGGGGGGTAGCACTGTGAGGTGACCTGCTTGATCCCTTTTCCCATACTCCAGTGGAAAGTAATTTTCCAAAAATTATTTTCCAAGTTCCCCTGTTTGTTTCTGGAGGACTGATGAGACCGCAGCAACCTTTGCAGAGTCCTGGCTGCTGGCAGGAAGCTTTCTGAGTATATATTTGTAGTTCCTAACCTAGTGTCACCTTGTTATTTGTCCCCTTCCCAGGTAATAATGTCACCATGTTATTACATTGGACTCCTGCTTCTGTCTTTTCCCTGTGTGGTGTAGCTGTCACCTTCCGTTCAAAAAGACTTCTAGCGTTGAAAGCTGTAATCTTCCGTGTTTCTTTTTATGCTGTATAAATTACCTGGCCTGTTCAGTTCTACCTCTTTTCTCCAGGTGCCAGGGCTGCGAGGTTGTCTTGTCAGGCATTGAAGAACAGGTTAGCCGGGCCAACCAACACAAAGAGCAACAGCTGGCACTTAAGCAGCAGATAGAGAGCGAGGTGAGTGGTCAGAGGAGGGAGCAACCAGTGCTCCCCGCTTTAAAATAACTAGAACCAGTACCCTGTGGTTGTTACAGTCTTTGCTCAAGGTGAGGCGTTACCTTTTCCCTAGGCCGGACCCCCCAGGGGTTGTGCCTGAAGAAGAGTCCGAAATCAGCTTAACACTCCTCTACAGTGCAGGGGTCTGGACAGCTGTTAGTTCTTTTGTTTGACCTAAGCTTGCAGCTCTTAACTCCAGGGCTTGTGTTGAAAAAAGGGAGAAAAAAGAAAAGCCCACAAAAAAGCCAAAACCAAACGAAAAAACTTGGGAAATTCCTTGGTTCTTGCTTTTCTGCTGTTGCAGGTGGCAAACCTGAAGAAGACCATTAAAGTGACAACAGCAGCCGCTGCAGCAGCCACATCCCAAGACCCGGAACAGCACCTAACAGAGCTCAGGGAGCCAGCCCCTGGCACCAACCAGCGCCAGGCGAGCAAGAAAACTTCCAAAGCCAAAGGGTGAGGAGTGAGGCCAAATGACCAGAGCTCCTGTCTGTCTGTGTTCAGGAGGTGAACTGATGGGAGTCCTGTTTCAGAGCAGTGAGGTTACTGACTGCAGGGGTCTGCTGCCTGGACAGGGGATGGTCAGAGATGTAGTCGCAGCTGAGCTAGTCTCCTGCTAACATGGGGGGAGATTTCTGCGGCTCTTGATTGAAGCAGAGTTCATAAGCCTTCCTTGTGTTCTTTTGTGAAGAACATCAGCCGCTTTTCTCTGTGTGGATTTGGAAAATGAAGTCGGGGATGAGCTGTAGTGTCCACTCTGAAATTTTACCTTTTTTTTCTTGCTCCACAGGCTCCGGGGCAGTGCGAAGATTTGGTCTAAATCAAACTAGTTGGATCTCCCTTCACAACTGGGAGGGTGAGAGGAAGAGATTTGGGGGATGGAGGGGTAGCAAGGGTCCTAAGTGTGATGCTTCTGAGCTCTTCTCCGAGGCCCATCTTGCCAACTAATTCTCCTGCATGTTTGTTCTCTTTCCTATCTTCTTTACCGGCTTTCCAGGCAATGCCTCCCTCCTTTTCATCACAGCATTTCACACTCTAAGCTTCCAATCGTATGCGTTTCCCCTACCTCTCAAGCCCCCATTGCCACGGCC